GGCTGCCCAGGGAAGTGGTTGAGTCCCCATCCCTGGAGGTATTTAAAAGACGTGTAGATGAGGTGCTTAGGGACATGGTTTAGTGGGCATGGTGGTGTTGGGTTGACAGTTGGACTCAATGATCTTAGAGGCCTCTTCCAACCTTAATGATTCTATATATACACATATATATTTATGTGTATACAACAGAGAGGAACATGTGATAGAGACTGAATTAACAGCAATTTTTAGGGGCAAATTTCAGTGCCTATAAGGCTGGAAAGGACTATGATAGCACAGAGCTAGCACAGTTCTACGGTGCCAGACAGAAGACTGAGGGAACTTACAGGGAGGCCAGAAAGAGTCACACTCACCATGTCTCAGGATAAAGGGGCCTATGAGTTGGTGCCATGGAGGGATTACATGAAACAAGCAGGAAGCTCTTTATAGGCCAGAGTGCAGTCTGCAGAAAAGAGTGCGTTTGTGCCCTCAAGCACATAACCCAGGTTACCAAGATGCCCGCTGAGACCAGAAGCCAGCCTTTATTAAACAACTAATTGAACCAAATTTAAAAAGGCAAAGCATTTGTGTTGGAAGTGATAGCAGAGTGAGAGTGTGACTCTCCCCCCAGCCCTTACAATTCAGAGTCAGGAGGAGTCCCATGTGTAGTCTTTGGCGCAGTTGTTCCCATATCCAACGATGACAAGGCTGTAGTCTGTAGGAGATGCTATGTTTATAACCCCATGTGTGTGTTTGTCTCTAGATTTCCTCTGAAACTGCTCTATCATAAAAGGCTGCCTGTCTGAATAAAAATCAGAAAAGCAATGAAGAATCAGAAACATAAGATCTTTGCTATCATTGCAGATTACAGCTTCCAGAGAAGCAAAAAAATTTGAAACAAACTCTACCCACGTACTCTTAGATTAGCATCAAATTGCTTCCTTGAGTCATCAACCGTGCTGAATGCGGGCACTGTGTAAAGGTGTAAAATGGGAACAGTGAGCAATGCTCTTCCTTAGGGAAGACAAACTTTCCTAGTGGTGGGCATCTCATACAGTAAGTGAAGAACAAGAACAAGATAAAGACTAATGTACAGAAAGACTGGTAGGAAAACCATGTGGACCCTTCTGTTGCAGGGACAGCAGTGTGTGGCGTGGCAGGAGTACTCTGAAGTAGCAGAATCATATCAACCTCTGCCCAATCCAATTTGCTAGTCACTCATGTTATGGCAACATGTCTAATATGAGGTCAGCATTGTAAAGTACTTTCCTTAAGCTACACAGGTTTGGTCACAGTAGTTTGGCACACCTCTCTTGGCCTGAGGTCAACCCAGAGGTGCTAATTAAGACCCTAATCTTAAGCAAATACAGAAAACAGCAGGCCACGAAGCGTGATATTATTTCTTTTGTAGTCAGCTGTACGGATCTTCAAACATAGGATGAGGCCCACGTGTGCTGCGTAATTGCCTGTCACGGGCCCCAGCTGGGGTCTATTGCTAACACTCAGGCCAGATTTGGCCTGCCCGGAGACATGGGGGTGTAAGGACTGGCATGCTGCCACGGTACAGAGCTGGGATTGCCTGTGGTAGGATAGCCTCCAGCTGGCTGGTTGGGCAGGGTAGAGAGTGACCTCTTCACGTTAAAATAAACCTAATGCTCCTTGCGAAAACGACTTGAAATTGTCTTTGTTTGGAACCCTGAAAGTTGAATAAATGTGCTAAACTGAAACCATAGTGCTCTCAAAAGGAAATGAGCTGTTATGTAAATTCCTGTTTCTTGACTACTCCATCTGAACTATTAGTGAAGCTTTTTAAAAGATAATTGCCTCCTAAGTCTGAGCTATATACCTGCTGGTTTGCACTGCCAAAGCAGGAGATTTTGGAGGGATGGTGGGTGAGCTCCCCAGGTACAGCACAGGCTGCGCTGTTCTTTTGGCTGAGGCGTGCTATGGTCTAACCTAGCACAGCAGAGGTTGGAATTGTATCTGGAATCTTTATGGAATTAGTGGTCCTCAGACTGGGGTGAAGGAGTCATTGTGTTGCTCAAAACAGAGGAACTGTGGTTGTGTCTGTGTCCTCTGAGAGCAGGGTGTAGAAGAGGCAGAAATATCTTTGAATTTTCTTCCAACCACATTTTAAGAACACATGCATAGTCTGTGAAATATGATTATACACTTTCCTTCTCTGGAACACACAGTGAATCAAGGGGACATTTGGTAATAAATTACTTAGGGTGAAGAGGTCAATGGATGTGCAATGCTGGCACATTTATTTTAGCATCATCATTAAACTGTCTAGGATAGCATGTTAAAAATACAGAACATGTCATCTGTTTGGCTAGTAAATCAGATGATCTTGGGCATCCACCTGTGTTTACACGTAAAAAGCTTTAAGCTTTACATACAGAATGGTAGGATTGTGATGTGAAGTTTTATAGCCTTTTAACAGTCCATGGGCTTGACAAGCTAGTACAGAAAAGGCCTCTTGTGGCTTTAACTGGAAAAACAGGTAAGCATGAGGAATGTCTTTTCCTTTGCTTTCTACTTTTCCAGCAGCTGTTCAGTAAAGAAGTGTATTCTCTCAGAATTCATATTATTCCCTTAATTCTCTGACACTCCCCTCCCCAATCAGTACCTTGAATTAATATAACCTGTCAAGCTGTTTTTGTTAGTTTTATTAGTGCTGTTTCTAGAAGTGGAGTCTTCTGGGGATTATAATAACTTCTGGGAAGTTATTATATCAGCTAATCAGCATAGTCTGACACTAATTAGCTGGTATTAGTAATAATATAAACTAATCAGAAGTCTGACATTGCAATGTTAATGCACAAAAAATTCCTTTCCTGGACAGTATAGCTGGAAAAGAAGACACTTGAGACAGTAATAATCTCCATAGTGAAATCATCATGGTCAAAACTCCATACATTTCCAGCTGAAAGCAGAAAACAAAGGTGACTGCTTCAGGTTAAGTTTCTGTTTTCCAGACCCGTCTAAATGTGTAATTTTTTTGCAGAGCCAACTCAGTCACTTGGAATCCACACAAGATGATGGGAGTGTTGTTACAATGTTCTGCCATTCTTGTCCGGGAGAAGGTCTGCCTTATATTTAATAATTAAGCAGTTAAAAAAAAAAAAAAAAGTAAATATCAAGCCATACTTTTTAAGAGAGTAGTGCAAAATCCATTTAATTTCAAAATTTCGTTTGGAAGGAATAATTGTGTGGATTTACATTGTGTTTAGGAAGTTGTTTTATCTTTTCTGGTTATTTATTTTTGGGTTTTTTTTTGTTAAAGCTGTAGACAATATGTGTCAGATCTTTAGCTGCTGAATCTTTGCATATTCTAATAACAACACTAGAGCCATGCTAATATACTTCATCTGAGCACCTGTCCTGTTGTTTCTATGATATACTGAACATACACCCTTGGTCTGAGTAATTGGTCACAGTCTAAACTGCTTAAACAAAAAGCAACTTTTTTTACCTTACACAGTGGTTTAAAAGTTTCTCAATTCTGTTGAAAAGAAACCATGCTGCTTTTATTATGACTCCATATATATTTTTAGGGCTTTCTTCTAGATTCTTCGTTGTCATCAATGAAAGCAAGACCAGTGTCCTAATTCTTTTAAGCAATATGTATTTTCCTTAGATGACTGGGAAAAAAAAAAAGTCATGTAATCTGTGGATAGGACTAATTCTGTTGTCTACTAATTTCTGGCATGGCAAATGCTACTAGAAGAGATTAGTTGAAGAAGTGGTCCCTGTGCATAGAACTGGGATGAAGGAGTTGTGGTTTCCAGCCCTAGGTCTGCCATTGCTCTTCCAGGTGACCTACTGAAAACTGCAGCATTTATTTCCCTTTATAAAACACTTTGACATCTATTGGAGGGAAGCACTAGCCATTATTTAGTGGCATGCATGCTTATTACGCTAACTATTGCAGGATTTTGGCAAAATTTTTTATTCTCTATATGGGAACTTTGATAGTGTTTTTGTATTTATCAGATACACCAGTGTCTTTCAGCGTCTTCAAAGAGACACTAATAAACTCTAAAGGAGATGCTAACCGTTTTAGTAATGTCACATGTGTAAGACTTCTGTGTAACATACAGGAATTTGCTCCTCTATATTTCCTTCAGAGGTGTTTGCCAGTAATGTTTAGGTTTCTGTTGGTCTGTGGACCATATTTATTTGTAAACAAAAAATGGCTGGCTTAGGTAATTTGTACTTTTTATCACTAACATTAAGTGTCATAAAGCTGGACAATATATAACGTCGAAGCCTTCAATTACTCTTTTTTTCTTTACTTTCTGTAGCTATCTGCTGCACTGAGAGACCTCAGCTTTATTCTAGTGTGTAATTTAACACATCAAAAATTTAAGTCTTAAGAACATAGCCTTACAAAGTGAAGTGGACAAAGTTAGTATCAAAAACTAGGAATCCAAATCAAACTGAGGATGTTTTTTCAGGTGTGGGTGTGTAAAACAGTATGACTACTCAGTGACTTCTAAGTGAACCACTTTAGGTTATGAAATTATTTTTGTGGCTCAGGTTTACAAAACAAGGTCAGTATTTTATAATTTGGCCCATTAAAGAACAATTATTCTGTGTATATTTGAAATACATTTTTAGTATATTATTAACGCATACAGTTTCATATGCACATATGCCATATAAGTCATATAAGTACATGTTTTTCATGACAGGGTATACTTCAAGGCTGCAATCAAATGTGTGCAGGCTATCTCTTCCAGCAAGACAAACAGTATGATGTATCCTATGACACTGGAGATAAGGCAATACAGTGTGGTCGACATGTGGACATTTTCAAATTCTGGTTGATGTGGAAGGCAAAGGTAAATAATAAAAGTTCAGCTAAAAAATCAGAAATGTATTTATTTAATATGTCTCATGTAATGGAACACTTTTTTAACATAAATGTTTGTGTAATTACAATCTCTAAACACACAGGTATCTGAGTATTAAGTCAGAAAGGAGCCATTTAAATTGTAGAACAATGTTAGCCATCAAGAAATTCAGCTGGAAATTAGAAGAAAGGTTTAAGTCACTAGATGAGTCCTGCAGTAAAACCACTGAGGGTAGGACACTGAAATGCTCTTTTGTTGTGATTCTATACACTTATGTATGTATTTTATTACAGATTACTTGTAGTAGCAGCAGAGTAGACTTGATGACCTACAAGGTCCTTTGTGCATCACATTTCTATGAATGGATTTTATAAGCAACTTTGAAAACACAGCCTTTTTCTTAAGAAGCTTTGCCTAACTATTGATTTAACAGTTGATTCCCTGGTACTACTGTGGTATGCCTGGATGGCTGAATTTAAACACAGACTTACGTACAGGCTTACATGTTTACAAGATGAGTGTCCATGTAGTCAGGAAAACACATTTCATTTTTATTTCTTTATCTGCAGTCATCTTATTACTATTCTTCTTGCTCTTCCGCTGACAAAATGGGAACTCAGTAGGGTAACCTGTCCACAGTCTAATCTTTTTTTATAAAGCTGAGATTAAATCTAATGGCAAAATGTACAATCATAAAACAGTGAGAGTTAGACAGCAATAGTAAATAACCTGTGATGGTAAAAGGTGTTTTCATGCAGATTTCCTCAATATTGAAGACTCAGGGAAGACAGTAAAAGAACTTCAGATATACAGTTACTTTTAAACAGACTGTAGAGTTGTCATTGTTTATTTTTAAAAGTACTTCAGAAACAGAAACACAACACTTCAACACAAAATACTTATAACAATTACTTTAGTAATCTGCATAGGTTTGATTACCAGGCTAAGTACATTTCAGTTCAGACTCAGTTCTTCCTCCAAAATAAATCATTTTGGTACTGTAATCCAGTAACATGAAACTGCTTATGACACATTAGAAGTGGACTGTGACTAGCAACTTTGAAGTGTGGTGTTTATGGTTCTAATTACCAAGTGCTGACTACAGACACCATCAAAGCACGGACTGAACGTTTTTCTAAATACCAGCCAAACACATTTTGTTAAAACTAGCATGCTAATTCTATCTGTGCTGTTATATTCACCTGTTAAACTGGCTTCACTAAAGAAGTAGAGGACTTCACAATAAAGAAAAAAATTATGGTGGAAACAATAATGGATGTGGGTCACATTTAAAATTCAGAAGTAGGATATCTGTGGATGTGATTCTTTAAAAATAATATAGATTAAAATTGCTAAGTTGATGTGTATATCTGGAATTTAAATTTCTCCAGAAATCAGTTTCTTTGGATTTCTGTTTGGTCTTGAGACAGATTCAGATTTCTTGGACCTGAGTTCTCTGAGGTATTGGATAGAACCTGTTTCTAGCAGATTGCATGATTATGTTACTAAAATGTTAAGAAAACAAAACATTAGGAGCTATGGAATTTTTTCCTTCAGCATTAGCCACCATGAGTGATCGTATTCTTGCCCTCATAGTAGAAATATACAACCTAGGTCCCGAAGTATTCTTGTGACTTTACCTTCAGTCATTTTATTCAGTACAAAGAACTTACCCTAAATATGCAGTATTTTGAGTGTACTTGTCTGTCTTATTCATTCATGTACAGAAGTGTACTTTAAAAAAAAAAAACCACCTACTTTTTTTTTTCTTCTTTTATTTATTGTCAACATTCATCTACTTTTTCTGGGATTACGATGTTTCAAAGCAAATCAGATATGACAAAGGATCAGTAGGTAGGCAAATGACTTCTAGCAAACATCTTGCAGGCTTTTGTTTGCTGACTTTTTAAAATGCAAATTTCTAGCAAACTGTTCAGAGGAAATAAATTACTTCCCAACTATTACCCTTTCAACTGAGTTCCCATTCCATGTTCCCAGTCTTTCAGCAAGAGCTGGGAAGCCAAGACTTAATATTCATAATATTTTTTGGGGGAAAAAAAAAAAGAAAAAGAGCTAAAAATAATCTATTAAAAATATCAAAAGCCCTTGTTATTATCATAATAAATTCTCTTAAAATGAGACCAAAACCAAATAGTGATTACAGTTAGGCCACATTTATCCAGTTTTATAGTGTTGATTAACTTTACTTTTAAATTACAATAAATAGTACTGCTAAATGTTTTCTGACTGAAAACATTTAAGAGCGAAGCCTATCTGAAAAGGTGATTGCATCGGAGGAGGAAAAATGACCATATAATTAATACTTACTTTCTTTTTAAAACAGGGTACAGTAGGATTTGAATATCAGATCAACAAATGCCTGGAGCTGGCAGAATATCTCTACACTAAAATCAAAAACAGAGAAGAATTTGAGATGGTTTTTGAAGGGGAGGTAAGTTTTCTTTCATTTAACCTGTCTGTAGGAGCCAAATGTGTATGCAATTCCGAAAACAGTCTTCACACTTCTCACAGTTCTTCAAGCCAGCTATGCAAAACTGCTCTTATTTTCTAAAGAACTACATGACTATTGGCATCTGGGTGTTTTTTTTGCCAAATGCATGTGGGTTTGTATCATAAATGTCAGATTTATCTCCTCTCCTTCTCTTCTGCAGAGGACTTCTCAGTTTAGGGCATGAAGACTGCCATAGTACAATCTACTCATGCCAAGATTCCACATTTAACATACATAATTGAGAATCTGCTATTTTTTCTGTATCTCCTGTTGCTAGTGCCACTGTGTAAGCTCTTGGTTGATAGAATAACAAATAAACTTCATCTCTCCACTTACTAAGAAAAAGAAAATTGGGTTGCCCTTGCTGCAATCCCAGAAAACAGCTCCTCATAAAACTGCATGAGGATGAAAAGCATTTGCACTTCATTAGCACCCTAAAACATTGTAAATGGGACAATGTATAGGGAATCTAAGACAGCAGATGCAACCAGCAGTACTGTAATCCATTTATTTTGTTTTAACATGCAGAACTAGGATACTATATTTTGTCTTCCATGTCTGTGCTAAAATATGCTACTGACTAGCCTTTAGCATGTGATTGATCTGTATTATTTTGTTTATTGGTGTATGTGTTTGGTTCTTTTTGCAGCCAGAGCATACAAATGTATGTTTTTGGTATATTCCGCCAAGTCTCAGGGGCATGCCAGACTGTGATGAGAGAAGAGAAAAGTTACACAGGGTATGTGGCTTTTGTTGAATGCAAAAATATAGTCTACTCTTTCAACCCGAAGTATTCTGTTTATTAAAAATAATATATCTGTGTTGACACATGTTCCAAAATCTGGGATGTCAGTTCTCCAATTGCTTATTATGACCTTGATATTTGTTCACCTTTGTCTCCTATTTATACTGGGGCTGAAGTCACGTTTCCCCTGTAGAACCAGTTAACAGAACATACTCAGTTGTTCTTTGTTTTGTATCACTTCTGTGCTCCCAAAAGTGTTATGAATCTTTAAAAAGTAGCTAGGCACAAAGACGTCCCAGTCCTGTTTGAATAGGACAGCATATCAGCAAGAGAAATGGAAGGGTAATTATTTGAAAATGTTGGGACAGGTAAAGGACATGGAAACTTGTAAGTCCTTCTCAGGTCTTTATTTTGATTTTAAATGTGCTTGGTTAGCCATGCATTAATGCATTTCAGTGAAAATGAATACCCTTTGGAGAACTTTGGGATAAACTTATTTGAAGAAATGATAGAGGGAAGTGAAGGCATCATAGAGGCACCACCAGGAAAAGTACTGTGTTACTTAGGACTTGAGGGAAGTGAAATACATTAATTTTGTAGTAGCATTTTAGGCAGACAGAAGTGGTATGAAATACATTCAGGAGACAAAAGAATGATTTTATAGTTGTCAAAATGAATTGCAATTTTTTTATGTTTGGGAAGGGAGAAGAATGGGCAAACTTGGGAGGTTTTGTAGAGGATTTTATGTCTGCATCACACTGGGGAAAGAGAACAAAAGAGGATAGGAATTCCTGGGTCAACCCAGTGACATGTTAGGTAAAGAAATTGCCAAAAAAGAGAGAAAAGAGGAAGATAGGTAAGACTAGGAAGAAGGATGAAATGTTTGACTTGACCCTGTTAAATGTTAGAGGACATTATAAAGCATCCTACAGAACAGTAAAAGAGCCAGACATCTGACCTTGGCTGGCAGAGAGTAGAGCAGGAGAAAGAAATGGCTAAACTGGGCTCAGTCAATACCAGATATTAGGATTGTCAGAACATTATTCCTTGTAAATTAAAGTGAGGAAGTGAGATTGCAGTAAATGCACAGTACTGCAAAACTTCTGGAAGGTTTCCATGGCTTATGCTAACAGAAAATATTCTTTACGACATAGATCTTGTTGAAAAACTTCCATCATTGTTCCCCGTCCCACCTCCCCCCTGCCCCCCCTGGAAAATGACTTTGAGAATACATAATATTCTCATGGAAAACATCCGTGGTTCTGGAATAGGTTTTCATAAAAAGACTGAAAATATTTCTTCATAACAAAACCTTCAGCACAGAGAAATGACATGTACACTTAATATATAAAATTATTACATAGTGAATACTCTAGGATGCTATTAGTCTATTAACCAAAAAGGTGGATATTATTGTTGTCAATTTTCCTTTAAATATCCAATCCTACATATTTAGTTTTTCAAGCTTTTTCACTTACAGATCTTTTTAGAAAAACTAGTGCCTTTCTGACCTGTCCATTTACTTTTCCAAATTAAAAAATGTTGTGACATACAAAAAAGGATAAAATTTTTTAATTACTCATCTCTCTCTCTTTTCTTTTTTCTTTTTTTTTTTAATTATAAAGGTGGCACCGAAAATCAAAGCACTGATGATGGAGTCAGGTACTACCATGGTTGGATATCAGCCTCAGGGTGATAAAGTCAACTTCTTCCGAATGGTCATCTCAAACCCAGCAGCAACTAAGTCTGACATTGACTTCCTCATTGAGGAAATAGAAAGATTGGGGCAGGAGCTGTAGTACAGTGGTTGAATTATTTATTTCTCTAATTCACTGTTTTCCAGCACTGGCTATTTTTTTAACCCAGTTCTGCAGAACATGTTTTAAGGAAATTCTCCTTCTGTAAGTTCCAATCTCCTAAGACATCCTTAAACAAAACAACTATAGGCTACTGAAACATATATGTATTGGTAGATCATATTACTGAGGGAAAATGTATTATCTTGAAGTTGAAATACTATTGACTCTTACATTGGTCTTGTTTATTGTAGT